ATTTCTAGTGTTATACATTTAAGTCTTAGTGTATTTTATAATGAAGTCCTGAAGTTACACAGTTTTTAATGCTAAAAATTCAATAACTATTTTGAGAAATACTGATTTGTTCTTTTTACTTTTAGACTTAAAAGACAGAAACAGCTTTTTGAAAAGTTAAACAAGGATACCTCAATCTATGACTCTACACGCACACACACTGAGTCGAGAACAGAGCCTATGCATAACAACAGCAATCATGAATATCCAAAAAACCACAGAGATACCAGTCTTCCCCACCTTGACGTGGCTTTTGAAAATCCAGCATTTGTACCTGATACTGAAGATGCACCACATGCCTCTGAGTCAGCCACTAACACCAATATTCCTGATAATATAAGTGCTTCAAGTCATGGCTCTGATGAGCATGATGGCATTACAGGACAAACAACTAGAGTGTCTACTCCTCCTCTAATAAGCTCTAACATAAATGCAACCCTTTCAGACAGCTCCAGCCTCAAAGATTCTCCTGATGAAGGTCAGAAACGTACCTTAAGCCGAGGACCCAGTGAAACTGACAGTGGAGTACCTGGCATAGGAGGAAACTTTGATGAAATTGATTCTGATGAGGCGGACAAAGAAGTTGCTGACATTTTAACACAAAACCTTGATGATACCTATGCAAATGTCAAGAAAACAGCTAAGCTACCCATAACAAATTCACCAACACTATCAACAACCAGTGATACAAAACTAGATACAAGCTACATAGATATTTATGAACCAGAACCTGACTATGCTAAAAAAGTTCATTTCCATGAAGAGCCTAAGAAAAGTAATTCAAAGAGGGGGTCGATAGACAGTAACAAAGATAGATTAGATGAGGAGATTATCATTTCTAACTCAGCTATAGAAGAGGAATTTTATTTTGGTGACACAGAAATTACTGCATTATAGTGAGAACTGACTTTGCAAATACTTTTCTAATGAGTATTATATGCTATTCATTGTTCACATGTATTTTCAATTGGAATGAAATTTTATTAATTAATAAATTACTGCAATTAAAAATTAACATCCAAAATGTACTGTTCACTCTTTCCTGTGTACAGTAATATCATTTCAATCATTATCATCAAAATTCTTTAAAGTCAGAGATTGAGGAACTAAAATCATACTTTTCAAAAGCCCTGGATTTAAAAATCCTGCAATTTTATTAAGTAATACTTCATATTTCAGTGCATGTCATCTGCAATTTATTTCCCCCATTTGTTGAATTTTTATTCCATAAATCATGGACAAGCTTAAAAACATATCTAAATATTGAACCAAATATTTGAAAGTCACTGTTTATGTAACTGTGGAAGCATTTTACCAAATGCATTACAAGTTAAAAAGTTTTAAATATTTTTGTTCCATAATGAAAACAAAAATTATTTCACATTTAAGACTTTATTGTACCCTGAAAGATTGATATTATAAAGGCACATCCAGATCTAATGTAAACATGGGTTTCAAAGTTGGTGTGATCCAAAGGATTTCTAACAATCAAAGTCAGCTCCAACTCAGATAGTTTCAGGAACTGTGAGAAAGTAAACCATAGTTTGAAATACCAACACTTAAGCATTTCATTTCTGATGATTACTTAATTATGTCTCAAGAAGACTTAGCACTTCAAAGCATTGGAGGTTAATAATTTTAGACCTTTTTAGTTAAAATTATTTAATAACCTACCAAACTGACCATCTCTACCCAAACTTTTATGGACATCCGATCTCCTCATTTATCCCTTCAGTCAGATAAATGACACTGTAACATAAAATCAATGATTTGTTTAATCATTATAGCAAGAATCTGTTATTTTTTAATTCTTGACTATTTATTTCACCACATTTAGCATTACAATGTGTCATCTTTTCTTGTTAAAAACAATACTTCTCAAATCATTGTCCGATTAATGTTTCTCACTAGCTTGTAGAATTTTTCTATTGTTTTTACTATCTTTACTTTTATGATATTTTTTAACAAACATAAGTTTAAATCTTTTTTTGTTGTATTTCTAGATTTGAATGGGACCTACAGATAGTCTTCTGACTCGTGTCATTTTCTAGCATTTTTGTGATGAAATTTCATTAATTAAAAACAACAGGCAAAATATTTTTTGAAAAGTAAAAAAAATAAAAGCAAAGCATGTCAAAGGGAAATAACTCTGCACTTACTACTATATCTTTCAAAAATGTAGAAGTTATTTTCCCATTGAAGCAAAAAAATTAATTGCCAATATAATTAATAGACTAATTGGTTAGTTTCTCAATTCATTTATGTTTTGTTAGGTACAGCAAATAATTGTTTCAAATTTCAACTTGATCCGATAATAATGACTGTTGGAGAAATAATGTGTTCAATTATTTAAGGGCATGAAACCTATATATATGTTTAGCCATATATCTGAATACTAAATGATTAATTTCCCTTGTTTGTATCAAACCAGTTATAAATTGACTAATTGGTAATTTTTTTTTATTGATTAAGTCTTATCTATGCCAATAAATAAATTGCAAAATTTCAACTTGATCCCTGAATGGCTATGGGAGAAATAATATGTACAAACTTTTTAACAGACAGACAGATAGAATGAGTTGATATAAGCTTTCTAAAAATCTATTTCTGTAAGAAATTTTCTAATGATGTGGCAAGTCAGCAGCTGTCCTCTGACTGGTTTAAAAATCTTCCTTTTCAATGCTTCTTCCATAGTTAGTTAATGGTCAAGCTTAGGCCTATATGTTTTCATATTTTGTTGTATTAGTTTTCTTGTTTTTTTATTGAAGCCACTAATTTTCATCAAATACAAAAAAGTCAAAAATGAAAAACATTAATAATTTATGTCAACAAGTTTTCATTACCCCATCCAGCTGAAATTTCACACATAAACTAATTCTTTTAAAATTTCAGAAAGACCACTTTGTAAATTATTGAATGAATTAATTTTTTTTTTATATATCAAGATTCATTTTTGGCAGCCATTTTTATTTTCTATTCACTTTTTAATGGAATGTCAATTTTTTTTTTCTCTATTTTGTAATTATATAAATAGGAAAATTGAAAATACAGAGAAGAGTCACTCTCAAATTTACCACTTTAATGTACTGTATACAGTCATTATGAAGAATAAAAGTTGAATGTTTAGTTTACTATATTACTCTTACATTTCTTTTCTATTACTTGTTTAGTGTTTCAGAGTAGTACTGTTAAGTCAAAATTTTAGTGAATTTTTTAAACACTCTTATTAACATAATTGAATCTTTTAAGTAGTAAAGGTAATTAGTGGACTCAGGCTTTTTATGTGATTAGTGCTTGTAATAAGGAGTTGCATTTTGATCAATCATTATTTGCTTTCTTTGTTGTTTCCTGATTGTACATAATGATAATTTAAAAGCTTTAGTAAATATTTGTCTTAGTTCTGTTTTTAACAGATTTTATTTGCAGAAAAAAACATATTTCTTGGAGTAACTTGAAGTGTAAAGATAGAGACATTATCTTCATAGAAGAGGAAGAGAAATGTTGTATCTTGTTTTAGATGGATGAATATTTTAAATTAATATTATTATTTTAACATTTTTAATATTGGAACTGTAAACATAATAGCTTTTTGTGTCACATATAGAGGTTTTGTTTTTGATGGATGGATTAGGACTTATGAGGGCTGAGTGGGCACATGACCTGAAGTGTGCCTAATAACAAGACCTAACCCTAAACTTCTATTCCTATACAAAATATATGACTTTTACCTTATTCTCTCAATCTTCCTATTTCTTAGTTATTTTACATCATTTTTTTTTTACTCATACGTCTTATTAAATGGACCAGGGACTTGACCTTCCTTTAAAAAATCTAATAAATAATAATGATTTTGTTTTACTCTTAACTCTAGAAAGGAATTCAATTGTTACATATTTTCTCTGTATTGGAGGTCTGTTCTTACATTGTTAAACTAACACTTTCATGATAGTTAATAGATTTTCATTTCACTGTTGGCTACCAAAACGGGTGACTTGAGTTTGTTTGTGTATTAAAAAAATATGTTCATGTATAATTGCTACTTTGTTGATCTATCACATAAAAAATTCCAATGTCAATAACTGTCCCATATGTTAATATCACATATGTACTAAAGGTCACATATTTTATAGACTTTTGAACTGAATATGATACAAATATTGTGAATAAAAATAACCTTTCAGATATTGTCTTTCTAATGATTGACGTTTGGATATTACCAGGATTAAATTCAAGCAAAATCTTTTGACTAAAATGGTAAGTAGTACAGGTAAATCAGTTGAAAGGGTAAAAAAAGAGAAAATCAAACAAGAGAAAACTATAGAGAAAAACTAAACTTGGTAGATAGAAGAGTGCATCATGATCAACATGAGCATCAGGAAAAACAGATCATGTAGTGTGGAAAGAAGTAAATATAAAAAAACAAACAACTTATCTAATGGAAAGAACTGCACACTTAAAACTATATTTCTCAATAATTAGAAGTTATTTTTCTTATTTTATATAAAACAAAATAATTACCAAAAATTGACTATTTGGTTAATTTTAAGCAGCCCCTGAAAGGGGAAAAGTTGCTATTAGTTTGGTGGGCCACTTCAGGGGCCGATTTTGAGTTTGTACACAAACTGTCGTTGTAACCTTGTTTTAGATTGATTCATGTTTTGTTAGGTACAATAAATAACTTTAATATTTCAACTTGATCCAAGAATGGGTGTGTGAGAAATATTGTGAGCAATAATACATGAAACAGTGTCAAATGTGTTTTCTGCATAGCTCAATTGTATCTGCTCATTGTTTAGTCATAGGTAAATTCGTGTAGCCTTATATTTACTGCATGCATCAAAACAAAGGACAAAGGTTTGTGAAAACATTTTTGTTTCATGTCTTAATTCATTTTACTCAACAACAATGTCCGATGAGACAAGAGTTTACATTGCAGAATTACTGTTTGTAATATGAACATCTCTTTGACTTTTCACGATACTGTAACACTAGCTTTCCTAACCAAGACTGAGATCTTACTCTAGTTTTATTTGAATGAACAGAAACATTATTGCAGAACTAATTTACCAGCATGATAAGCGCAGCACTAATCATAAAACTTGCTTAACATTTTTTACATTAATTTAAGGAAAGGTGTTCAACAAGCAGGACTAGATAAACCAATTGACAACAGTTGCTGGAACATTTATTTAGAAACCATGAATAAATGAGCAATCTACATCTATATAAAAGCAGGTCAGCGTGTAGTTTTTATGATAGCCACATTTCAATTGTATTGCTGAAAATTAAATATAGCAGAAGTGATCTGAACTTGTCAAAGTTGAAAAATGAATAAAATAATTGACATGAATTCGTTTTCAAATCTGCACATTGCGCTACACATGTACACTCACAAAATCAGTTTAAAGTAATTTCAGTACAACTTCACTTGACTAGCATCTAAATGTCTGGTCTCATTGAAGAAATACTTTGCAGTCTTTACACATTGTTAGTTGTGTGCCCCTTTTTTTTTTTTTGTTTGATTCTTTTTATGCCCCTGCCATACATATTTTCTAGTACTGTGTACAATATAAGAAAATAATAACATAGATAATAAATAGTAACATGACTTTGTATTATCAACTATAAAACTAAGTGAAGATCAACATTACAAATACACTGGGACTGAACTAACTACTACAGTGAGTGGAGTAATGAATCTCAGACAAGTCTATAGATAACTGATGGGTTTGCCAGGTCTAGGAGGAAGTCATTTTCAATATCAACAAACTTGGAAATGAACCAGACATAAATGGGAATGTAATGAAATGACACCAACACAAAATATATGGCAAAGTATTCAAGTGTGAAATGTGTGCAACAAGGTTGTGGGAAGAGGGCAAGATAAAGTAGACCAACTGTAACATGGGTGGAAACATGTGAAATGTGTGGAACAAGGTTGTGGGAAGAGGGCAAGATAAAGTAGACCAACTGTGACATGGGTGGAGGCATTTGAAATGTGTGGAACAAGGTTGTGGGAAGAGGGCAAGATAAAGTAGACCAACTGTGACATGGGTGGAGGCATGTGAAATGTGTGGAACAAGGTTGTGGGAAGAGGGCAAGATAAAGTAGACCAACTGTGACATGGGTGGAGGCATGTGAAATGGGAACAAGGTTGTGGGAAGAGGCAAGATAAAGTAGAGTAGACCAACTGTGACATGGGTGGAGGCATTTGAAATGTGTGGAACAAGGTTGTGGGAAGAGGGCAAGATAAAGTAGACCAACTGTGACATGGGTGGAGGCATGTGAAATGTGTGGAACAAGGTTGTGGGAAGGGGACAAGATAAAGTAGACCAACTGTGACAAGGGTGGAGGCATGTTACAGAAAAGATTCCTATGCAAGGCACATTTCAAATAACCAATGAAACAAAACCCTGAACAAGACACAAGGTAACACTTGTTTATTCGTTTCTTGTCATAAATCTATTGTTCAGTGAGAGAAAGATGGAATGCATTATGGCTCTCATTTTAAAAACTAAACATTTTTCTTACAAAAGGTTTTACCAGAGCACAAACATTTCAATGTTTCTAGAGAGAAATAATACATACAGGTGATACAGTTAGGAAATGAACAAATTATTTGATCCATCTAATCCAGTCTCAGTTATTGATGAGATTACAGGCACCAGAAAAAAACAGTTAAATCTAGACTAGGATAGATTCCCACTGATAATAATGAACAAGAAGCCTAGATGTGAGAACAATTAACAGTGATATTTAGCAACAAATATGAAATAGTTTATGTTTGCTGAATTATGTAAGAAGTATAATTCTATGAAATAGATGGAGATATACTTTTGATGTAGATGATTCAACAATGATTCTTTAAATGTTATGACTGAAATGTATTTTGTCGTCAAAAATATTTTAGACTAGAAAGTTTGACTCATCCTGTATGATAGATAACTTTACTTGGTCAATTATTGTTCCTGATACAAGAGTTTCACCAATGATGAGATGAAGAAATGAGTTTCACTTTAACACTCACCCAACCAATGGTTACCTTAACAAGGGAATCAAGCAGGTAAAACAGTAAATTAATCAAACTCAGAGGTAGTGAATTTTATGCTCCAAAAAGATTTGGAAGTTGTTGTTTTTTTGTATTAGTCGAAACAAATAAGCCTCCCATTATATAGCTCATGAGCCCTAGGGTCTGAAGGGAGAAGTTTGCAATAATTGTAATCTTAGATCAACTAGAAACAACCAAACAGTTATTCTTTATTTTCTTCTTTAATTGCTGCCTTGCTAATTAACAAAATCAATAAATAACAATACAAAATACAAAACAACACAAAAACTAAGTTATGATCAGACGCCCCTGCCATAAGCATATGTTGTTGTAGAAATAAAGCATCAACTCATGAGAATCAGTTCATTAGTTGATCAGTGTATAAAGAAAACTAAAGTCTTCAATAAATAAATTGACATTTTCGCTTTGACCATTAGAAAGACCTGCTCAGTATTCCTCTCTGTACAAAAGTAAACAGGAAAAGAAGAACACTAAGTCAGTCAAACAAATGTGTAGGCTACATAAAAAGAAAACAATCAATTCAGTGGGGAAGTACCGTCCAATTAAGGTCTTCAATTCTCACCACAAACATTTTAAGCCACAAAAACAAATTAACTCTTGAAAAACAAAATGAAACTAAATATTAAAAAAAACAAAAAAAACATGAATGGTTTGCCCAAAAAATAGAAATAAATAAAAGAAAATGCCACTTTTTACAAAGCTTAAATAAATGTATGATACAAAATCAAGAAACAAATCAATCAGCTTTGACAATGTAAAAAAACACAACACAAGCTCTCAAAAACCATCAGAAATTGAAACACAAAGTGGATTTCTCATAAACAATAATTTGAATAAATATTTCAAGAACTAAAATAATGTCAAACATTCAAAATGATAAAACCAAGACAAAATCAATACTTCAGTTAAGTGCAAGACATAAAAACTGAACAGAATTGTTTATTGATGGCAGTATACAATACCATAATGTGGTCATATGGTAATAAGTATATTAATAATAAAAAAAGAACAGAATTAATGTATAATGAAATTTATATTTCAATGCTAACAGTATAATTAGAAGTTTACAAAAAGAAAAGCTTGGTTAGACACTTGCTCATATGGAGGAAAAAAGTCTATGTATAAAATATATTGAAGAAAAAAAATTAATATAGGCAAGGTTTAAAAAATATTCTTGCAACCACAAGACATCTAATCAAGAGTATATATATAAATCATATAACCAGAAGCAAAGTAAAGACTAACCATAAATAAAAAAAAATTATTGCTAAAAAAACTGGAGTAAACACTACCTGTTAAAATGTCACTATTGATAAGACCTAATATAATCAAATTTAATTTTCTTTTCAAACACAAATAGTTAACGAAAAAAAATCAAGGGTTAAAAGTATATTAAGTGTATAGAATGTACAGATGGTATAAAAAAAAAAAAAAAGAAACAAAGTCAATAAATATTTTATCAAATACAAAACATCACATACATGTCAGACTGACAATAAATAATTTCATTCATTACCATAAAAGCACACATAAACATAGCAAAAGAATGCTGTTCCATGCCCAGTGCCACTGATGTTTCTGCAACTGATCTATGATGTAACTTAATGAACAACATGGAATCAAAAGCTTGATTTGCAACCATTACTTTAAAAAAATTAACGCACTCAAAATGTTTCTCTAGTGGCAAATGAAATTCAAATAATTTTCCCTGACTAATTGAAGATTACAAACATCATTATTAATAAATCCTTAGTGGTGACAAATTTATGGAAATATGCTGTCTATCAAGATAAATCCAATTAAGTATGTATTATTTCTTTGTTTTTCATTTATCTTCAAGTCCATACATAGGTGATAAAAATCAGTCTACATATGTATAAACTAAATTTTTACCATATTTCTCTTTGAAATCAATATAAAAATTGAAGATGAATTTCTATTAGACCCATTCTGGCAGAACAAGTAAAAAAGTTTGTTTTTTTTAGTTATAATTGCTTGTGTCTATTGCTTGCTTTCTTACTAAATAAAATCTTGTTACTTTATGAGCTATAGTTTAGAAATACCTGTTATGGTAGCAATGTTTACAATGTATCAGCCCAATTTCTTCAAGGCATGTCAGTTTTTAGATTTTTTTCACCCTATTTGAAATCTTGATGGTCAGAAAATCAAAAGTTAGCCCAGCCACCAAAATGTTTCTCAAGGGTGCGAGCCACAGCCAAACTCAGATGGTCATTGAATGGGGTAGTTACTACCTGGACACCCAGTGGACGTCCATCTTTGGACAAGCCAAGTGGGCACTGGGTCACTGGAAAACCAAGTGCATTAAATAGTCCAGTGTAGGCAAAGTTAAAGGGAGTGAAGATTGGATGGGAATGATAAGGGGCCAATTTTGGGTGAGACGGATACAATAGTACCCCATCATCACCCATCATTGCTAGTAATTCTTGTTTTAAAACCTTTAACACTTCAACAGCTTTCAAGTCATTTTTAACAGTCAGCTTGGGCAGAACATCGTCAAAAAGTCCCAGGGCTATGGCTGGAAGGGTGTGCTCAGACAAACATACAAACTTTTTCAGGAGCTCCACAAAACAGTTGACATGACCCGCTTCACGACCAGACATTAAATTAGCAAATTTAGGACCGTCATCAGCCAGATTCATTCTCCCAGTCCAGAATTCTAAACTGTAACGAAACTTTCTGATGCGTTTCTCATGCACTTCTGCCCCTTCTTTCTTAAAAAATTCCATAACCTGAAAGGTCAACAAAATATTTTAAAAATTACTTTTTGTAAAACAAAAACAGTAAAAAGAATCCAGCCAGAGAGATAGTTAGTTAATATAAACTTAATGACAAAATCAAAAACAAATTTACAAGATACAGAAGATACAGAATCTATTCCTGAATTCATTCAAGGACAACATCAAACCAAAATTTAAATTTTCTATTTATCAGATGTGTTTTATTTAGTACTATTGAATGCATTCTACTTTATGGCATACTTATGTGCAAATAAATGTTTATGATTTATGAATAACATAACATATATCTTTAAGAACATGAAACATAGTCATTTACATCAATATATTATATACAAGATGTAAAACTATATTCCAAAGTCCAATGCATCTTCACAGAACT